GAGGGATGTTGGGAGGGGTGTTGAGGGGTGTCGAGGGTGTATGGGTGGGGTATTGAGGGGTGTCGAGGGTGCATGGGTGGGGTATTGAGGGCTGCAGGGGAGGGATGTTGAGGGGTAGGGGCGTAGAGGTTTTATTTATTTTTTATTTTTTGTCATTTTCGGAGTGGGGGGCCTTAGGCCTTGTCATCCGCAACCCCCCACCGCTTGCGCGTTGTTCCAAAGCAGGTCGGAGGGAGAAAACAGGGGTAGAACTGGGTTAGGAAGGGGGTAGGGGCCCTAGGGGGGGGTAGAGCGGCGCTCTAACGGCGCCCTACCTCGCTCTACCCGTCCTTCCCCGGTTCCTACCCCGGCGGTAGGGTATCCCCTGACCATGTTACCTCTGCCACCCACCCTCCCCAATTCCCTCCCAATCACTCCTTGCAGAAACAGGAGATCGCATTACTAATGTCTTTTCTTGAATGCACGAAGTCCATTCTCTGTTTGGCCGCCTGCCACTGATTGGAGATTTTCATCTGCTGCGTGCTTCTGGCTGCCATGGCCTCGAGCCAGGGCTATCTGGCTATTTTGCCTGTTCGGCCTGTGGGACCAGGCCGTGTGCTCATTCAGTCCAGTCCAGTCCTGCCCGGTACCACTGTCAGTACCAGGCCAGTCCAGTCCAGTCCAGTCCAGTCCAGTCCAGTCTGCTGGGGGTATACCCCAGCTGCGGTCTGTTTTCAATTCATTCTTCATTTGCACGTTTTTGGAGTATGTGCGTGTTGACACTGTTGAGTCCTTGGTGGTGTTCTCTCTCCCTCTTCCAGCTCCATCTCCATCTCCACCTTCTTCCTCCTCCCTTCCTTCTCCACGGACACACGGGAACTGCCACCGAGGCAGTGCCCGTTACACTGCTATCAGAGCAGGCATTTCTCCCTGCTCCCCTCCCCCACCCACCCCCTGTATCATTTCTCACGTGGCTTGAGCATAAAAGCTTGCCACTTCACTTTTAATATGACACCAGTGCACATTTTTCATCATGATAGCTTTCGCAGAGCGTGAAGCTCCCTCAACAACATCTAGCCGGATATACGACAGCACCTTCCCGTAACTCGTGCCGGGCCATTTGATGTTCCTATGCGGAGGCACTACTGACCTCAATGATTGAGGTAGACCGGGTGGGGCACGGGGACGAAATGATCTCGTGATGACGGAGGGGGAGGAAGCGGGAGGTGAAACTCCTGCTCCTGCTGGCAGCTGCTCCTGTTGCTCCTGCTGCTCCGGGTCCATCAACATTGAGATCAGGGAGGACCAAAAGCGAGAATGCACGTCCCAAGTCGCTCCCCTCTAAGAGAGGATCGATGTTGTAGAGAAACTCGTATGCAAACAGTCCCACCCATGGCGCAGGCCATGCGATAGGTGTTGCTTGCTTGTACGGTGCAGCCTCCGGCAATGGCGTCGCCGGGAAAGGTTGCACTATCTCTTCCTCCGGTCC